CTTAGCTAATTGTGGCATAGGCTAACCTATATTTGTGGCATAGGCTTAGCTATTTGTGGCATAGGCTTAGCTATTTATGGCATAGGCTTAGCTTTTTGTGGCATAGGATTAGCTTTTTGTGGCATAGGCTTAGCTATTTGTGGCATACGCTTAGCTATTTATGGCATAGGCTTAGCTTTTTGTGGCATAGGCATAGCTTTTTGTGGCATAGGCTTAGCTATTTGTGGCATAGGCTTAGCTATTTATGGCATAGGCTTAGCTTTTTGTGGCATAGGCTTAGCTATTTGTGGCATAGGCTTAGCTATTTGTGGCATAGGCTTAGCTATTTATGGCATAGGCTTAGCTTTTTGTGGCATAGGATTAGCTATTTGTGGCATACGCTTAGCTATTTATGGCATAGGCTTAGCTTTTTGTGGCATAGGCTTAGCTTTTTGTGGCATAGGCTTAGCTATTTGTGGCATAGGCTTAGCTATTTATGGCATAGGCTTAGCTTTTTGTGGCATAGGCTTAGCTATTTGTGACATAGGCTTAGCTATTTGTGGCATACGCTTAGCTATTTGTGGCATAGGCTTAGCTATTTGTGGCATAGGCTTAGCTATTTGTGACATAGGCTTAGCTTTTTGTGGCATAGGCTTAGCTATTTGTGACATAGGCTTAGCTATTTGTGGCATAGGCTTAGCTATTTATGGCATAGGCTTAGCTATTTGTGGCATAGGCTTAGCTATTTGTGGCATAGGCTTAACTGTTTGTGGCTCCTTCGAATAATTATGACACTCGTCGCGGTCTTAAGGTAGGTATTAAAATGAAACTTGGGAATTAGTATAATCAATTAGGCGGATTCCCGCGGGGAACGTAATCGTCGAACTCAACGCGCAGATCGCAAAGACGATTTTGGGATTGCTGTGCGCGGTCGCGGTGGAGTCCAGTTTCGACGCGAAAGATCTGTAACTCCAGAACACTGGAGAAGGAATGCACTCTCTATGAGCTAAAGAGGAGAACCAGAAAACTATTAATCAATCGTTTTAGAAATGACAACAAGCAAGCGACACACACCCAGTTCATCTTCAACCATAATAATTTAATTTTTTTGTGTTCGTACTGTAGTTTTGTTTGTTTGTCACTTTTTAACAGCCGGTATATCAGAATATCAATTTCTATCACGATCTTTATTAATATCATTTCAATCCAAAAATATTGAGTTTTAATTTTTCGAGTTTCTTTTGTTTTTAATCGGGAACGTCTCCAGTATCCCTTTTTCAGCATCGTGGTAAGCAAACGTTTTATAGTGTTTAATCAGTGCTTCGAGAGAGAAAAATCCGGGGATCAATCGACGATTCTCGGAGGGCCCTAAGGAGAAATCATCAAATTCTACTCTGTACATGCTTTTTTTCATCTTCCCATGATTATCGAATTGCTTGCTTTGACTTATCGGAAAATGGTAAAAATCCCCATGAGACGATCTGAAATAAATTCATGTTAACAAATTAAGACAATACATGTAAACCTGTAAGCCAAAGCTGTTTCAGAAGAATAGCTGATTGCTGGAGACTCGTCATTAAAAGCCTCATCGACACTTTCTTTCGACAACTTTTCTCCTTTTGGATATACTGTTCTTGTTTTTCGACAAATCGAAAAAATGTCAAGTTGAAAGAATATAAAGTTTGGGTTTTCATACCAATCTTCCATACTTGGCTTCTTCAAGCAAACGCTCATTGTCTGCTTCTTCTGTTTTATCTTGCATATTTAGACTTTCCTAATTTTTTAGTTCCGTCTGTGCGTGAAGTTGGATCCTCAGCAGAAACACAGTGATCCGAAATCCGTCTGCCCTAGAAAACGTGAAAATATTCAAAAGCTTTCTTGTGAATCATGAAACCAGTCGGCTCACAAATTGGCTTACTCTCATATTCGTAACAAATGCCACCTGTGCTGTTCCATTAAATTTAATTGTGTCTTGCAGAATAACAATTGTACGCTTCACTCTAGAAAAAAATCACAACTACAGCAGTCATCCCCCACATTTATTACTCTATTGAGATGAACGAATCCGGAAAATCTGGCGCTCTATAGAGTCTCCTCTTGAAAGAAAAAACTCTTGTACCTGAAATGAATACCTTTGCTCTCTTGTGTGTTGCTGAATAATTTGTGTGAACCTGCTCTACATTGCTTTCCTATTCTTTTGTCGGCTCCCTTGAGAAGGGCAACTCCTACTCAAAGTGAGAAAAAAGAACAAAGACTACGATCTGTACGCTTCGTAGTTTGTCGAATTCTTTTCGTTCTATAACGTAATGGAACTGAAACAATCAAATAGGACGACCACAAACCATTAACTTTGAGTTAATTCATCTCCGTTTCTGTCAAAGGTATCAAAAAATGATCAAGTACAAAAATGTTTATTGCAATTTCAAAAATATTTTGTCAGTTGACTACTTTTTGATATTTTTTACAGGAACCGAGATATATAAGCTTGAAGTTTACGATATTCATTGCTAGAGGAATACTGTTGAAAGATGACATAGATATTTAATTATAAATATTTTTGACTTCAAGAATCTATCATCTTCTTGTTATTTCCTTTTTCATGTTTTTTTCTATTATTATAGATAGTGATGTATATCTGGTTTCACTTTTCTACGTACCTCATTTTCGTATAACATTGTTTTTCATTTCACTTTCAGAATGTTTTTTTGAAAAATATGTAGGTATAACAGGAAGTCTTCGTTATTTCTTTTATATGGATCATAATATAGTAATACGGTTTAATGATGTCCTTCCAGCATACGATTTTCATTATTCGTAAAGGTCTAGAGACCTTGTTTTCATCCCTTCAGACAATTCCTCCCACCTTCACTTCTTCACGCTTGTGAACTAACTACGTCGCCGGTGTCCGAAAAAATTCAGTAATCCGAAATAAGCCATATTTATCACCACCAATATACAAAGTTCTAAACAATTATCCTATTCTATTCTGAAAACGGCACCCAGCCATCTCAGTCGGTATTTACCTCCTCTTGTGTTTTCATTGATTCCTTAGTCTTAGTACTAATCCAACACTTTTCTATAATAGAAATTCTATTGTGCAAGTTTCCTGCTTGTAAAAAAATCAAGCAGTGCACGCTCTCCCACAGAACAATTCCGAACTGCAAATTAATTTTTGATCTACAGAAAATAAGTTTGGCGCGATCACAATTGCAGGTCTAAAACCATAATTTCAGAATTTTTTATCTGATTTTGTGAAGTTCCAAGATGATTCAAATGATTCTTTAAAAAATAATTAGTGGTTATAGATTCATGTATGGTCCTTTTCCGGAAGAAAAAATGTCAAAAATGGTCATTTTTGAAAGTTTTTTACAGAAAAAATCTATCTCCTCTTTCAGTTTTTGACATTTCTAGGAGTTCTATAGCTCAAAGAAACCTCTACATTTTCTATGGATGAATTTTCAATTCGTCTGATAAAACTTTTTTTATAATTCAAAAACCTCATGAAATTGCACAAAATCGCATTTCTGCGTTGTTTTTTGATTATAAAAAAGTTTTATCAGACGAATTAAAATTCATCCATAGAAAATGTAGAGAAAATAATTGCGGTTTTTTTAGCTATAGAACTCCTAGAAATGTCAAAAACTGAAAGAGGAGATAGATTTTTTCTGTAAAAACTTTCAAAAATGACCATTTTTGACATTTTTTCTTCCGGAAAAGGACCATACATGAATCTATGACCACTAATTAATTTTTTAAGAATCATTTGAATCATCTTGGAACTTCACAAAATCAGATAAAAAATTCTGAAATTATGGTTTTAGACCTGCAATTGTGATCGCGGCAAACTTTTTTTTCTGTAGATCAAAAATTAATTTGCAGTTCGGAATTGTTCTGTGGGAGAGCGTGCAGTGGAAGAGAATAGCTCGTAGGTGTGACCAAAGGTCCCCGTAACGAAATCCACCATAACTGAAAATTTTTGGTTTTTTTTCTCGATTACTATTGATTTTTGACAGTTTTTGTGTTAAAAACCTTCAAACAGGAAAACCTCCAATATAAAATGTTTCAATTCTACAAAATTGCCAAAAAGTGGACGAAATTCGAGAAAAATGAAATTTAAAGATATTTGCTAATTACAGTAGTCCGACCAATTTTCTTCAGTTTAGACTGATATTTTTAAACTTTTGCAGANAATCACTCTCTTCAATTGTTCTTCTCTGTAAAAATAATCCGTTTTTATCTTTTTTGTCGCCTGTTCCATTTGATTCAAAGACATCCTTGTTCTTCCTCTTCTCCTGTTTATTTTTCTACTTCTTCTCGCAACAATAATTGCACTGTTGCCCTCCCCGCCTTCTACTCGTTCCTGCTCCCCCCACGTCTTCCTGTTTTCACAACGATTTCTGCTTCTTTTTTTCGTGCTGGTGTCCATCCCATAAAAAATAAACATTTCCAAATGAAAAGGTGAGTAGTGGGATAAATAGAGTAAACGAGTAGTGTGGGTAGAAAAAGGAAAGAAGAGGAAGACGAGGTATTTTGAATACCCCCCATGGGAAATATCAGATGAGAGGAGAAGAAGAACGAGGGAATCTGGTAGAAAAATGTCTGGAGGTTTTCTAGTCTGTTTTTTTCCGGATGAGAGACAAGTTGAACCAACATTCTGTTGAACTATATATTTTTTCCCTCACATTAGTTGTCAACTACAGAAAACCTATGCAGTTGATCGAATTTTATTCGAATGTTGTTTATATGTATTTACTCAATTATCGCTCTATTCCCAACAAAATGTCATTTGGAGGGCAGAATCAAATCCAAATATATACGAACTCTCCATTAGAGCGGACCAATAAAAACGGCTCGTGGTTCATTCGATCCGTTTATTTCTATTTTCTTCTTTCATTCATCTTCTTTTTTAAATGAAGTGTGTCACTTTTATTGCAACTATTTTGATTTTCAAGATTCTTCTTTTTTTGTATGACCTTTTTAAAGGAATTCAAAAGTTTCTAGAAAAATTCGATTTTTGATTTGTTCATCACGAATCTCTGAGTTCTAAGAACCAAAAAAGATCAACGATGATCATTTGTTCGAATACTCAAACGAATCTATCGCCTAGAAAACAATGGAACGAAAAATTTTGAATTCCGAGATTCACACAATCGAAATGCGCTCGTGCTTGAAAATAGAACTATGTTGGAATTTTACAGAAACTGGAACTTATTAGGTTGGCAGGAAAGTAACTGTCCCTTGTTTTATTTGTGAATAATACAAAAATCAGATTAAGCCAAGATTAGCAGTATGCACCGTCGTGGTCCACAACATCTTGCCAACATTCAGGTAACTTGTGGTACCATACCTCCAAGAGCTAGCTAGCCGCGAATCAAAATATCCCCTTTTTCCAGTTTTTTTCTCATGAATGGTGCAAAATTCATCATCCTCCAGATAGCGTTGTACATCTCCGAATACTCAATAATCTGACAGAGCCAAGTCAGGACTATAAGTATGTGAGGGAGAACCGTCCCGCTGAAGCTGCTCAAGTCTGACTTGACTTTAGTTAAAAAATGCAAAACCTCATGTTGTACGGAAAGTACGCCGTATTTGTACGCCGTATTTGAGCCGCTTTGGCTAGACGGTTCTCCTTCACCCCAGTGAAAGTTCTGATTTTGTTCTATCAGATTATTGGTTAATCGGAGATATACAA